GTATGTTTAGCACGTGTTTCTTTCATAATGTAGAGCATAAGATTTTGAAACGTTGTGTGGCCTCCTCGCCTGTGTCAGTCAGACAACGATCACTGATAAAGGATCGTCCGAACTCTGGCCACAATATCATCATCGTTATCACGTTATAATCCCCGTCCTACATTGATGTGTGAGACTGATGACTGTAATGTGTGAGACTGATGATTGTGATGTGTGTGACTGATGACTGTGATGTGTGTGACTGATGACTGTGATGTGTGAGACTGATGACTGTAATGTGTGAGACTGATGATTGTGATGTGTGAGACTGATGACTGTGATGTGTGAGACTGATGACTGTGATGTGTGAGACTGATGACTGTGATGTGTGAGACTGATGACTGTGATGTGTGAGACTGATGACTGTGATGTGTGAGAGTGATGACTGTAATGTGTGAGACTGATGACTGTGATGTGTGAGACTGATGACTGTGATGTGTGTGACTGATGACTGTGATGTGTGTGACTGATGACTGTGGTGTGTGACTGATGACTGTGATGTGTGTGACTGATGACTGTGATGTGTGAGACTGATGACTGTGATGTGTGAGACTGATGACTGTGATGTGTGTGACTGATGACTGTGATGTGTGTGACTGATGACTGTGATGTGTGTGACTGATGACTGTGATGTGTGTGACTGATGACTGTGATGTGTGTGACTGATGACTGTGATGTGTGTGACTGATGACTGTGATGTGTGTGACTGATGACTGTGATGTGTGTGACTGATGACTGTGATGTGTGAGACTGATGACTGTGATGTGTGAGACTGATGACTGTGATGTGTGAGACTGATGACTGTGATGTGTGAGACTGATGACTGTGATGTGTGTGACTGATGACTGTGATGTGTGTGACTGATGACTGTGATGTGTGAGACTGATGACTGTGATGTGTGTGACTGATGACTGTGATGTGTGAGACTGATGACTGTGATGTGTGAGACTGGTGACTGTGATGTGTGTGACTGATGACTGTGATATGTGAGACTGATGACTGTGATGTGTGAGACTGATGACTGTGACGTGTGAGACTGATGACTGTGATGTGTGAGACTGGTGACTGTGATGTGTGTGACTGATGACTGTGATGTGTGGGACTGATGACTGTGATGTGTGAGACTGATGACTGTGATGTGTGAGACTGGTGACTGTGATGTGTGAGACTGGTGACTGTGATGTGTGAGACTGATGACTGTGATATGTGAGACTGATGACTGTGATGTGTGAGACTGATGACTGTGATGTGTGAGACTGGTGACTGTGACGTGTGAGACTGGTGACTGTGATGTGTGTGACTGATGACTGTGATATGTGAGACTGATGACTGTGATGTGTGAGACTGGTGACTGTGATGTGTGAGACTGATGACTGTGATGTGTGAGACTGATGACTGTGATGTGTTAGACTGATGACTGTGATGTGTGAGACTGGTGACTGTGATGTGTGAGACTGATGACTGTGATGTGTGAGAGTGATGACTGTGATGTGTGAGACTGATGACTGTGATGTGTGAGACTGATGACTGTGATGTGTGAGACTGGTGACTGTGATGTGTGAGACTGATGACTGTGATGTGTGAGACTGGTGATTGTGATGTGTGTGACTGGTGACTGTGATGTGTGAGACTGATGACTGTGATGTGTGAGACTGGTGACTGTGATGTGTGATACTGATGACTGTGATGTGTGAGACTGGTGACTGTGATGTGTGAGACTGATGACTGTGATGTGTGAGACTGATGACTGTGATGTGTTAGACTGATGACTGTGATGTGTGAGACTGGTGACTGTGATGTGTGAGACTGATGACTGTGATGTGTGAGACTGATGACTGTGATGTGTTAGACTGATGACTGTGATGTGTGAGACTGGTGACTGTGATGTGTGAGACTGATGACTGTGATGTGTGAGAGTGATGACTGTGATGTGTGAGAGTGATGACTGTGATGTGTGAGACTGATGACTGTGATGTGTGAGACTGGTGATTGTGATGTGTGTGACTGGTGACTGTGATGTGTGAGACTGATGACTGTGATGTGTGAGACTGGTGACTGTGATGTGTGATACTGATGACTGTGATGTGTGAGACTGATGACTGTGATGTGTGTGACTGATGACTGTGATGTGTGATACTGATGACTGTGATGTGTGAGACTGGTGATTGTGATGTGTGAGACTGGTGATTGTGATGTGTGAGACTGATGACTGTGATGTGTGAGACTGGTGACTGTGATGTGTGAGACTGATGACTGTGATGTGTGAGACTGATGACTGTGATGTGTGAGACTGATGACTGTGATATGTGAGACTGGTGACTGTTATGTGTGAGACTGATGACTGTGATGTGTGTGACTGGTGATTGTGATGTGTGAGACTGATGACTGTGATGTGTGAGACTGATGACTGTGATGTGTGAGACTGGTGATTGTGATGTGTGAGAGTGATGACTGTGATGTGTGAGAGTGATGACTGTGATGTGTGAGACTGATGACTGTGATGTGTGAGACTGATGACTGTGATGTGTGAGACTGATGACTGTGATGTGTGAGACTGGTGATTGTGATGTGTGAGACTGGTGATTGTGATGTGTGAGACTGGTGATTGTTATGTGTGAGACTGATGACTGTGATGTGTGAGACTGATGACTGTGATGTGTGAGACTGATGACTGTGATGTGTGAGACTGATGACTGTGATGTGTGAGACTGATGACTGTGATGTGTGAGACTGGTGATTGTGATGTGTGAGACTGGTGATTGTGATGTGTGAGACTGGTGATTGTGATGTGTGAGACTGATGACTGTGATGTGTGAGACGGATGACTGTGATGTGTGAGACTGATGACTGTGATGTGTGAGACTGATGACTGTGATGTGTGAGACTGGTGATTGTGATGTGTGAGACTGGTGATTGTTATGTGTGAGACTGATGACTGTGATGTGTGAGACGTGTGATTGTGATGTGTGAGACTGGTGATTGTGATGTGTGAGACTGGTGACTGTGATGTGTGAGACTGATGACTGTGATGTGTGAGACTGATGACTGGTGACTGTCATGTGTGAGACTTATAACTGATGATCACGTCATGATAAAAAATGATCACAAAATCACAAAATCTACAATGGACATATTTAAGATGGAGAACAACAACGATTATCACGACGATATCATGATAAGAATAACAACGCCTCCCCCGACAATAATAATAACCTCATCTGCGATAAAGAAGATGTGATGACAATAACTACCTCAAATCTGCAGGTACGTTGTACGACACATGATGTCCCTTCTTGCACTCCTGATGATTGCGCTTCAGGGGCAATGTCAAATTACTACGCTGTTCTACTTGTTTCAAGTGTCACCTCCGCATGCTACTACATTCTCGATAACTCACTGCTGTGTGCTTGTGTTGTTTACAAACAATGATATATTAGTACCGGGCGCTGACGTTTGTGGGGTTCAGTCGAGTTTACAGACTTGCGTTAACGCCTCAGGGGTGACCTTGTTCTTTACGTGTTAAAAGGCATCCATCATGCTTCACAGAGAGGAAGAAGTATTTGAAGTGCACGCATCAGTATGCTATACATTTGGATGTTACTGCTGAAGGCTGGGAACACAGAGCTGGTCATGTGGTAGAGTACATGGCTGTAGAACCTTTATGTGCTACAACAACGAGTTATTACCAACTCTCGCTAGGACCTCATGGACAGTGGCTCCGGCGTTATGGATCCATATTTAATAACGTGGTCACTGGGTGAGTCCTGGGTAATGATCCCATGGTGTATTGATCCTGCTCGGCATCTTACCCACAGTAAACATGATAAGGAATGCTTGTGAGAGGATACTGTAGTGGTGTGTTGGAACTGGACCCTCTTTTACAGCGTCAACCATTCCGCCCACATTTCCACCACGCACGAGGCGCGTTGTGTTTTCTGACCAGCCACGTGTTGCGGTCCTATGGAATCTTACGAATCGGGTATTGACAGAGGTGTTATAGATCTAATTAATTGTGTCCGTACATATTGACAACGGAGAAAACATGCAGGCACTGACATAGTAAACACAGTCATGTGTTTGTTTGTTGTTGTAGTCTGGTTCAAGACTCGATTACTTACAAGGGGTCTTACGGGTGGAATTCAACTGCCAGATGTCCACCCGTATGACCCAAACTTGTAAATAGTCGAGTCTGGACCAGGATATGATGACATGCAATGGACGAAGTCACGGTTCTATTAAGTCGACTCGTAACTTTCACATCAAATGAGCCATATCTGCTAAATGCGTTCCAAGTTATATATCCATCGATCGATCATAATTGTTGCCGGAGGACATGCGGACCAGGACGAAGACGAAGGAAGCCACACAGGACGAGGACGTACATAGCCACACAGGACGAGGACGTACATAGCCACACAGGACGAGGACGTACATAGCCACACAGGACGAGGACGTACATAGCCACACAGGACGAGGACGTACATAGCCACACAGGACGAGGACGTACATAGCCACACAAGACGAGGACGTACATAGCCACACAGGACGAGGACGTACATAGCCACACAGGACGAGGACGTACAGAGCCACACAGGACGAGGGCGTACATAGCCACACAGGACGAGGACGTACAGAGCCACACAGGGCGAGGACGTACATAGCCACACAGGACGAGGGCGTACATAGCCACACAGGACGAGTGCGTACATAGCCACACAGGACGAGGACCTACATAGCCACACAGGACGAGGACGTACATAGCCACGCAGGATGAGGACCTACATAGCCACACAGGACGAGGACCTACATAGCCACAAAGGACGAGGACGTACATAGCCACACAGGATGAGGACCTACATAGCCACACAGGACGAGGACCTACATAGCCACACAGGACGAGGACCTACATAGCCACACAGGATGAGGACCTACATAGCCACACAGGGCGAGGACCTACATAG